GACATTAATTTCAATTTCAGATATTTGAGCGTCCAGATATTTGAAGTTTGAATATTTGTATGTTTGAATATTGAAATAATTACGAGCCTTAGTATAAACATCATTTAGTTATAACATTACAACATTCCCATATCGGTTAATATTTTATTGTCAGGAAATTTATAGAAAATGAGAAAAATTACGATTTTATAAATATTATCTTAGCAACTTGGTTTCTTATAACTTATTTTATTTTGAAAGTGGGTTGAGTCAATAAATTTCGGACATTCTTATTAACATTTAAGTGTCAACTTGCACATGAAAAAAGGACCCTTACCTCAATGCCCATATGAAAGGAACAACAATCTCCAATATTAAATAGCAAAATGTTTTTCATTAAGTAAACGGAATGATATGCGGTTTATATTGTCATCGATGCCATTAAAATTTGATCGAAAAAGTTTGGTCACATTCTTATCCCGTTATGTCTTTTTCTATATTTTCTTAAGATTTGAGCATGGAATTTGGCCCGTGTTTGCTAAAACCAGATCACTAGACTTCATGCTTCACGATCTACCTCTATACTGTTTAATTTCAATACATCACCTACTTTTTTTTTACAGGTATTACCTGAACAGTTTGACATACGCTACCGAAGAAAACCAAGATGACATCGAAGAGTTATAGCTAGTATTGAAGTAGAATGGCAAATGCAAGTTTTTTTCCTTCAAGTGAATCAACTGAAATAGTAAATTCGTTAAGCAAATCGAAAACTTTTTGTAGAAGTATTATTTATATTGAAATATTCTTTATTGAGAATAACATTTAACAATTATAGTTAATATAATGTAGAATAAATATAAATATAGAGAATATCGTGTATAGTTATGTAGCTTTTCTTACATCTCGAAAAGATAGATAAACGTACCAGAAAATAAACGTTCAAAATCGAATAGCTGGATGCATTTTTGATATAAAGTTACCGACCATTTATTCTTTTATTTCATTTCATGTAAATATGATTTATTGTGATAGTAGTCACCTTTGGTATCTATATTAGGCTCACATGTCTAATATAAATGAATGCCAAAACAATATCGCGATAAAAATGAACCGATGTTGTCGAATATAAAGATTATTTCGGCGTAGGTTCTCGCAAAATTGAGTAGATCACCATGCGTTTAAATCGTTTCTTATCAGATGCTGAACCACGGCAAAAATTTAGTTTTTGTTTTTAATGTTACGTATATACGCAAGGTTGGGTACTGTTAAGGGTTTGTTACATGCGAGGCGTGTACTGCCTATGTTCCCCGTAGGAAAAATTTCTATTGAAGTTTAATGGGAATCAATGGAAAATTTGTATATTTCATTCAAAACCATTTGGCATAAATGGAAAAATAATTGTTTCCATTTACAATATAATTCCATTAATATTTACATAGGAAAAATTTCCATTGATTTTCAGTGGNAGTTACAAGCAAGGTAGTAAGACGTTTGATTAAAACGGTATATTTCATTTAGACGTTGAGCATTTTTGCTCAAAAAAGACGGAAGACGTATTTATGGTGATTACACGAAGACGTATGTATTTTGGAAGACGCGATACATTGAATATTTAGTATAAGTTGTATATATTTAGTTCCTGTTTGTTACTCGTTTTGCTGTTTGCTGTTTATATTCATTATTATGTTTATTATATATGTATTCAACTATCCGGAGCCTTTTATTAAGCAACCCCTAGATAAGTAAAAAAGCCTACATTAGAAGCATTGTTTGATGATTTTTAACCAAGCCAGAATATAGAGGAGGCCGAAATCATCTGTGAGAGTGATGTAGTTTTATCAGAACCAAGTGAAAAAAAAAAATTTTAAACACAATGATGAAGAGCCAGACATCCAGGCACGTGCCTTGGTTCAGGTACCTGAAAAACCAAATTTTCAACAAAATAATATGGATTATGGAAAAAAGCTTGCTGATGAAGTTCCAATGGAATTTCTGTTGCGTTCGGGAATGTGAATCCCATTGACAATTCTCCATTTATTACCATTAATTATTATCAGTGGTAATTAAATGCCATTTTTTTAATGGAAATTGAATGGAACGGGTCAAAACAGCCGGAGTGTGGAATGCCGACCCACTTATAATACACTAAATATCTTTTGTAATACCTATATGTATACGTTTCAGTACATTATACGAGGTCTGTTCAAACAGTATCACGAATTTTGTGTTTTTCGAAAATTATTTATTTATTCATGAATATCTATTTTGTCCCCTTCTAAGTAATCCCCATCAGATATTATACACTTCTGTCAACGTTTTTTCCAATCCTCGAAGCACTTCAAAAAATATTTTTTTTGTGATCTTGCTTAGCTCCCCTTTCGATTTCTTCTTTACCTCCTCAACCGTTCAGTTTCGGAAACATGAAAGAGTCACAAGGGGCTATATCTAGGGAATACGGTGGCTGTAGCATTACTAGTGTGTTGTTTTTGGCCAAAAATTCGCGCGCAAGTAACAATGTGTGAGCAGGATTGGATTAACTGGAATTACTTATGTTAACAAAGCTAAATATGAAGATTGGAAAAACTTTGGCGGTTGTTGTAGAACAAACAGAATAGCTCAAAACCCCAACGCCAAAACACGACACTGTAGCTGTCCGAAGCACTTTTCGGTAACAAAGTTACCTTCTTCAGGGACTGAAGTAAACTCATGAAGAAGGTAACTTAGTTACCGAAAAGTGCTTCGGACAGCTACAGTGTCGTGTTTTGTCGTTAGAGTTTTGAGCTATTCTGTCTGTTCTTTAACAAAGCTAGTTTGGTGAGTAATCTGCCCCCACTTTAGTTGTGTACTATTATTTATTATTTTAGGGACATTATCTGTACCTGAGTGAATCTGAAATTAGTCCCTGCAGTAAAGTCCTCCGAACTTTCTCTAGTGCGGTTATAGCTTTAAGAATATTATTGACCCTACCCGTTTCTGTTGGTTCTAGAGAAAGAAGCTTCTTCAAATTAAAAACAATAGAAAATTATCTAAGATCAAGTATGGATCAAAATAGACTCAGCGGATTGACATTAATTTCAATAGTACATGAGATGGCAACTACCTATATTAAATTATAACGAATTAATTTCTACTTTTACAGAAATTAAAGCTAGAAAATCTATTTAATTTCATTGATTGCTTAATTTTTAATTGTACGACATATTTTGTTTGTTGATATTAGATACAAATTTTTTATTAAATATTTTTAAGGGAGGCTATTTTTTTAACAGTTTTTCTGGAGCGGCCTTAATTCTAGAGACTGTCCTGTTTAATTGTAAGTAGTTTAAAAAGAATTTAATGGTTTACCTAGAGTAATAATGGCTTTCGTATTAGCTCGGGCAACTTCCATTATTATTTCAAACATAAATTATGATTATTTTCTTGTATATATATAAATACATGTAGTTAGTTTTTTTTAAATAAATAACCTCTTCCGTTGCCTATTATCTAATAAATAGAATGAATTAAGTATTATTAATGCAGTTGTAAGGTGCTCTTTTAGTCGCTTAAAATGATGAAACGATTGAGGTATAGATATAAGTATGTGTAATAAAAAGAAATTGTAATTTTAAGAAATTTTGTGAATGCAATTAATACTTCTTTTGGAACATTAACTGTAAAAGATTTTAATAGAAAGTTGTAAATTCGAATAGTTTGTGAAATTATTCCCAATACCTACTGTTTTGTACTCCTGAAAAAATATAGAATCATTTGTAAATAATATATTCTAAAAATTGTCCTAATTCTAGTTTCCAGAGAGCAATAACTAAATAACTCATTACTTAACAGTTCAGAAAGAAATAAGGCCTACTTAGAAAAGTTATGTATGGAATAAGGCCTACGTATTCAATTTTTTAAATAACTTATAAAAAGTACACAAATTTATCTCCCAGAGGAAATAATAAATATCCTATTATTTTAATTTGATATTCACTTAGATATTTTACTCATTTGTATTTGGATTTGGAAAATATTTTATTACGTTAAAATTATTATACCATGTAGGAAACAACAAAAAAACATTAGTGGAAATTGTGTTGCATAGTTCTGGTTTTTGGGTAGACGTTTTTCTACACGCAAAAATAGTGATTTCAATGATGGGTGAAGCGAGAAACCCGATAATGATAAATTACTCAATCGTCTAGATTTAAATTTGTGAAGAAATATACTATCTGATTGCTTTATCTTCATTCTGATAAGTACCTATGTAAATATTTCGAATAATTACAACAGTATATAACATATCAAGACATTTAATTTTCAAGCATTACGTAGTAATTTTAATTGTTGGTAGAAACTCAAAATTCGTTGCGACTTTTTTCACAAAAATTGCTTTGATGTCGTTCACACCATTAAGAAAATGTGTTTCATCGCTGAAAATAATAAAAATCGGTTTGTTTTTGGACGGCCATCAATTTTTCAGTTATTATCCTCTTCACCGTCGACGAAATGAAATCACTATTCCGACCATATTCTGTAGGAAATTTTCGAACTGTAACCGTCAGACTTCCATTATTTTTGAGATATTGTTCAATAATGAAAACACGTTGTTGTAACGCTCCATTTTCACTAGCCCTATATTATCAGTTGTTAAATTGTTTTTTTATTAATTTTGGGACACCTAAGTTCGAAATATCTATCAAAAAGAAGCGTTTTAGAAAATACCACAAATGACACGGTAAACGCCCTCTGTAGTACGATGCTACATTTTAGGATTACGTATGCTCCAACAAGGTCCATTAGTCTGGCAGTTTCGACAGAATACATACCACTTCGAATTATTTTATTCAAAAAGAAGCGATTGTCGAACTATCCAGAAATTTTCAGTACCTAACACTGTGCATAATTTTTAGATTTATATTAGGTTTGTGGTATGTACCTTCATAATGAAATTTATTTAAAAAAACAATTATGATGAAAAATATTAGAAAGCTAGCTGAGTACCTTACTTCAGATCAAAGGTTACATACGTTAATGAGTCATAATGTCACTTATTATATATTTTTGTGTGACCTTTGACTTCTGTGTTTTGAAACGACTTTGATCTTTTTCTGTACCGTATATTTGTACATACATATGACGGCATTAAATACCATAATTTCCCAGACACACTTGTAATACTTTTAATATGAAGATTACCAATAAAAGCTGAAATTGACGAGAGGGTTTATTTTAATACAGCATGTGAAAGAACCTTTTAACTAATTTTGAGTATACACCATCTAGTCGTCGTAGGGTTATAGATACAGTGTGGTAGTGACTGTGGCTAACCGGAGGAACCCAAACTGTTGTTTTAAATGCTGGGCAACTTGGGTTTGTATTAGACCATGGTGCGATTGATCCATGTAAAATATTATGCCCCGTGAACTCGGGTTAGGCTACGTTTGAAATCTCAACCGGGCCTAGAGGTTTAGACCATTGATTAGCATTCGGGAGGACGCCAGTTCAATTCTGAGTACGTCTGCCTTGGTCCAAGTTCTTCTGTGGTTTCTTTGGATCACTTAGGTAAATGCTGGGGCAGTAATATTCTACGGATAATCTTTCATTCTCTTCTGTCTTCATTTCGTTCGTTTCGTCTTTCTCATCTGAACCACCACATACCCATTTCCACAATTCCCTTAAAGGAGGCTGAAGACAGCCTTCCGCCCAACTTTCCGGCTTAGTCCGGATTAGCGTCAAATGCGTGCACTAGAGGTATGAGTCAGGTTATATGGCGATAAAGTCTTTTCTGATTGGCGTATTGATGGGCTATGCATCATGACTTTAGGTTAGGTTAGGATGAGACAAGATATCTTTATTGACTTATGTAATGTGCCATGCATCAAGATTTTTTGACAACTGATAATACCGGAATTAATGAGCAGTTGTTGATCGCGCATTGGACCTTTGCGTTTTCTATCCGTTTGTTTCAGATTAAGTTATTGCTCCTATTTTTAGTCTCCTTGGTGTTATATTAAGGTTATGGTATGGGGAATCGACATTATTTAAATGTGCGTTGCACCAGTGACGTCTCAACATTGGTTTTGAGATTTAGAGAGCTCTTATTTAATTTCAATCCTGTCGTAATATATATTTGCAAATTTCAATTATTTTTCTGTACTGCCTACAAATTGTTTATGGACAGGGTGTTACTAAAGGGGTTGACCGATCATTATGAGTGTGACTTATGAATCCAAAAGATTTGAACCTTCTGTGAACGTGCCCAACAACTTAAGATTAAGAAATAGTAAATTCTATTAACAATTAGAGACATTATTCAAAATACTTTCCTCCTCAGCAGCAATTCAGCTTTCTCATCGGCAAATCATTGACTATCAAGCTCGTTCAA